TAAATATTGAAGATATACTCTAAGATGCTCTTGCTTAAAACTGAATTCTAAATTCAAAACTATATAAGCATATTTTAATTTTGAAAATTCCCATAAAAACATTCAATATGGTAACTACAACATCCTAAATATCATTTCAAAACACTATTCTTTCATTTTAGTTTATAATAACCTTCTAAGCCTTAATAATCAACAAGCAGGGAATATCACATATTTGCATAACAGCACACAATAAACTTTGGATGCATCAGAATTCTGCATTTTCATTTTGAAGTTACAATCACACTACAAACTGATGTTACAGAAGAAAAATTAATTGACAAAGTTTGTCAGTATTGGATGAGGGCTCTGGTTTTCCCTATGTTGATACCTATCAAATGACCATGTGGGATTTCATCGTCTTTGTTTTGTTCCAGATAAGTATGCACAGTCAATTAATGCAGGACCTGAGGATCTATGTGAAGAATGGGCTAAGGACAGAAAAAGAGCAGTGTCCACACTATACTGCATCTGCCCAGAGTCACTTTTTGGGATTTGAGTTAAACAGTTAGAACCATTTATCTATTCTCTGATAAGGCAAACAGATATGCTGCCAGTTAAGATATCACAAATAGCCTGGAATGTCAGCCCTTCCTACTGAGACTGCACTTTTCATCTGGATAAAAATATATCAAGTTTCTAAGAGAGAAATGCTGGCTGCCTGTCAGTATACTTCCTCATGCTGGCAGTACAGAGAGGATACCAGGTCACCAGTGGCTTGAAAAGTGTTAGAAAGCTGAATTTTATCCATATTTAAGCTATCATACTAAAATGTGGCTTCTAATTTTATTTTTTACCATTTCACTTTTTCCTTTATAAAAATGCTTCTATATATTAAGCTGTATTACATAAATCAAATACATTTTAAAGTTCAATGCCAAGAAAAAAATGCAACTTAATAAAAATAAAAGATTGGCCATGGTTTAAATGCCAAAAAGTTTTATTGTATTGACATAGGAGAAAGAACAGGATTTTAGTGTGTATATGTATGAAAATGTGAAAGATTATGTACCTGGTTTACCTTCCTATTCAAAGAAATTCAAAAGCTTGTGGAAGTTTAGGAATTGAAGTTTTTAGCTATGTTAGCATAAGAATGCCCCTTTAATTAAAATATTTATTTAATACAGCAATAAAATTTAAATTGTGAGGATCAGTTCAGGGCTTAGTTTTATTGTAGATGGTTGTGAGCTACCATGTGGTTGTTGGGAATTGAACTCAGGACCTCTGGAAGAGGTCCTTAACCTTTGAACCATCTCTCCAACTCCTTTTATTGGGTAAGTGTAGCAGGTAAAATAAATAAAATAAACAAATAATACATTACTTTTATTTCCTACAGAACTATTTTTTCATTACATAGTTACTCATAGCTACTCATCATGATAGTCAATAGCAACAAACAAGTGATTTTGTAACAAATGAGACTTGGTAGATAGAGCAACAGGGCAAGTTCTGTATGAGGCCAATGAAGATAAGACCTAAAGACTGAAGAGGAGACCATGTTGTGCTAGCTGATTTTTCTCATTGCTGTTTCCACATACCTAACAAGGGAAAACTCAAGAGGGAATGGTTCTGTTTTGGCTCACAGTTTGAAGTAACACAGTCTGCCATGCAGGAGAAGGCACAGTGGTGGGTCACTTCATGGTGTCAGAGTGGGCAGCTGGAACACTTTACCTTCATATATCTTGGCATAACCGAGGTAAAGAGCAGATAGGAAGTGGGACAGGCTATAAAGCCTCAAGGTCTTCCTCTAGTCACCAATATCTTCAGGTAGTCTTTACCTCTTAAAAACTTCTTCAACTTCCCAAAGCAAGGAAATGAGCTGGGAACTAAATGTTTGAACATAACTTTGTAGGGTGCATTTCACATTCAAATCACAGTACATACCAAACCAACTTTTGTTCACTGAACTGTAATATTGGGAGTTTAACTTACGACCTCACCACTACCAAGCAAGTGCTTTAGAAAGAGTTACCCAAGCCATTGCCTATAGTAGGAAATTACCAATACGGAGTCAGGTAGAAATATAAGGGTATTTAATAGGGAAAAGCCTTACTTACAGAGCGAACCAGCCAGCCAGTCGTAGTCTGTACAGCAAGAAGCAAAGAGAAACCGAAAGGGAAACGCAGACCCCCTACTCACTCTCACCATGCCCTCACAAGCCTGCCCAGGTACTCCTGTAGCCAGCCCCTAAGAAGGCGTGGCTACAGCTTCCCCTACAATTGCCCTTTTATTCTTTCTTGTTTTACTTTTTATGACATAAGGTCTTGCTGTGTTGCTCAGGCTGATGTAATGTGTATCCCAGGCAAGCACTGACTTTACCAACTTCTTGTCACCACCTTCCAAGTAGCCAACCTAGGAGGTTCAGCATAGATTTTAAAATGACCACTTCTGGAGAGAAATTATCAAGAGCCAAAGTTAGTTACAGTTCTCAAGGGTCTCCCAAGAAAGGCAAGCCAAATGCTCTCAGGTTCCACTTTTTTCCTTTTTGCTTACCATCTCTGCCATTTGTTGTGAGTAAAAAATGCCATTTGATTGATACTTCAATTTTCTATTTTGTTTTGCATTTGGGGAGACTTCCTAAACTTTACTTTCTAAAAAGTAAAGTATTATTTGTGCTTTCTTTTTCATTTTCATTCTTTGAGTTTTTTGCTATTTCTTTATAAGTGTAACATTATCTCCTATTTTTGTAAGGAGGCTAAAGATAATATTTTTGAAAATTTAATTTTCCTGCATAATTCCTATGTTAACTCTTTTCTGTCTCCCTTTGTTCTTCTTTTCTTTCTCTTCTATTTGTATCTCTGCCCTCTCTATAAGAAGTCCGGTGACTCATTTTTTTTTGTATTTTTTTTTTAGTTTTTTGAGACAAGGTTTCTCTGTGGCTTTGGAGCCTGTCCTGGAACTAGCTCTTGTAGACCAGGCTGGTCTCAAACTCACAGAGATCCATCTGCCTCTGCCTCCCAAGTGCTGGGATTAAAGGCGTGCATCACCACTGCCCGGCTAGGTGACTTATCTTGACAGCTTGCATATTTAGTATCTGGTAGTAGGTAGGTTAGGTGCATGTTGACCAGAGGGGAGGAGGTCTTGCCAGACTATACCTCCTCATGAATACTTAGTTTTGTTATTTTCATACTCTAGGGAATTTTGAAAGAAGAATCTCCCTATCTGCCTCAAGGATATATTGTCAAAATTCTTGGAGTTTAGTGAGAAGAAAACTGGATGCCTTTTCACTTACAGGTGCAAGCTTTTACTTAATCTCTCACTTATGTCTAATACTGCCTCAGACCAGATATAGTTTCGTACCCTTGAAATATCTAAAAATTTCAATCTTGGTTGACAAGAAGTCATTGTTGAGCAGAGCATGGGATTTGAGAACCCAAGTGCTTCTTACATACATTTCTAGTAATGTCACTCTGCTTCAGCCCTACCACTAATTACCCTCCACATTGTGGTGGCAGCTATTGCAACTGACCCTTTATTGTCTCTTTACATACTTAAACCTACAGCTGTTTTCCCCAATGTGTCAAGTAGTATAGTGTCTCTCCTGTCAGCACCTTGTCCTCATGTCCACCTGCTTCGCTGTTTCCAAATTGTGTTGCTGTAAAAGTTCTCATTTCAAAGCATCTCAATTAACGTTGTTCATGTGGTGGTAGGAATATCAGGATTCCCTGGTGGTATGGATTTGTTGTCTATATCCAGGCATTTCATGTGTGCTTCAAAAATGTTTTACCTGTCAAGCATCTTAAATGTTAATATGCCACTTGATTTGCTGATAATGAAGAATTTTATTCTCACCTCTCAACTTCTACATAGCTGTCAACATTTAACTGCTCCCCACACCTTCAAATACTTTTCTTAACTTCAATCCCCAATCCTGGATCCTTCTCTTCCTATCACCATAAAAAGCTGTAATGTCTTACTGAAGTGTGAGCTTCTCACCTTACTTTAGTTATTCCTGTGTCTAGATGACATCACTCAAGCTCTTTATTGCAACTCCAACTCTAGATGTCACCTTTGAAGAGTATATTTCTTCTAACAGTGGTTTAATTGTCTCCATTAGACACCACTAAGGCACTTTAGATTCGTAAAAGGTTATGCTCATCCTCACACCTGGTCCTCTTCCAGCATTCTGTCTAGGTAAAGTCATCACCAAAGTATTTAAGTGAAAGATTAGGTTTACCCTGAACACACCCTCATTTCATCCCCTGAATTCAATCTTTCTCCAAATTCCGCAGCTACTGTGCCAAACACCAATACACTTCACTTTTTGTTCTCTGTGCCCCCGCCCCGTTAGTTCTCCACATACAGGTATCTCTCACCATAACTAGCTAACTAGCCTCCTTACTCATCTTCCTGATTCCATTCCCTTGTACTCATCTCAACCACAGCCTAGTTCTCACATGCTATTTCTGGAAGACTTCATATTTCTGCTTGAAATACTGTTTTATTTGCATTTTGTATGTCAGCTTACATCCTTAGCTTTGGTGGCACCATGAAAGAAGTAGCCCTTCCCTAATTTAGCTTCATCTCTTCCTTGAGATCCTGGGACCTTTCTGATAGAGAACTCCTATACATGCTGTTACCTCTCCTTTGTCTAATGACTATTATCTTGATTTTTATATCCTTGGGTGTTACTTCTTTCAGTACAAACTGTGTATTCCATCTTGGGTTCCTCACTTTTACATAATTACACATTTATTTACACAACTTGTGTTCCTACCATATTACGAATTGCTAGAATAGTTTTGGGTATCTTTGTATTCTTAGCAAAAAACAGTCTCTGGCTCATAGTTGATGCTTGTAATTGTCCTGTGAATGAACAATGCAGCCAATATTAAAAAATGAACCATCACAGATAAAACAATCTGTATTTAAATTGTACATTGAAAAATGCATACAATTTTAAAGAAAATATTTCTCAAGGAAGATATTGTTTTGGAGAATAATCATTGACACTTCCTTACTTTCTTTGTTTTGCCCATTGCCTTCAGGATGGAGAGATTCAGGTCTTCAAGTGCAGCCAGTACATTCTCATATTCACCCAAGTGCAGAGAAAAATATTCTGGAAAGTAAAATAAATAAAATCAATTTATGTTGGAGTCTAGATAATCATAAGACAAAAAATTGATAACTTACTTCATAAATCAGTAAGCAAAATGTTGGCTGTAAATGAAAACTGGAAATCTTTCAAATGAGACTAAGGCATCAGTATACTAATTTCATTAGAAAAGTAAAACAGAAAAAGAAAAATAGTCTAACTGATTATAATTATCCACAAAAATGTTCTTTCTTACAAAAGGAAAACATAAGTCTGGGTGTGATGACAAGGTTTATTTGGTAAAAAGTTATTCTAAACAATATATGATTATAGATCAGAATAGGATAGCATTTAAAATGTTATCATTTCTTCTAGGAAACACTTATGAAGGGTAGCTTTCCCTCAAAGTTTTATTCTGCAAATTACATGGGAGATCCTGCTGTGGCTCTACTTATGGATACATTTCTGTCAGGAGTTGTTTTTAATAATTTAAGCCATTTATTTCAATGGAGCAAAAGTCATGTTTACCGTATTTTTCCATTGCTGGGAATAAGTAATGCTTGGAAAATTATGATTAAAATGAAAACATGGTACAGAAAATAATTTCAAATTAGTTGAAATGTAATACAGATAAGGAAAACTTTTTTTACAGAACCCTATTTCTAAAATCAGAAATGTCCAATCTTAACAAATGTTCATATATTACAAAAAGCAGATTTTTCAGGTACTATGTACTGAAAAATGAAGAGCTCTTACCATTGCTGTTAACCATCTATTGACAAACTATTATTTATTATTATATTTCTGTAATGCATCACATTTTAAAATTACATTAAAATGATATAAACTCACATGCAGACTTAATTCTGGGCTATACTGTAATATGTTTGATAAAACTGCTTTTGTTAATCTAATACTCCATACAGAACATTTGTTGATATTGGTATTAACAAAAGTGGAGGCTGGAGATATGAATCAGCTGGCTAGTCCGCTTGTTCAACATGCACAAAGCCTTCGTTTCCACACAGTACCACATAAGCTGTGTGCAGTGGTGCATGTCTGTACTGCCAGCACTCTGGAGTTGGAAACAGTAGGATCAGATAGTCAATGTCATTGCCAGATGCATAGAAAGTTCAAGTCCTGCCTGGACTTTGTGTCAAAGTACTGGACAGTTCACTGATTTATATCCAATGTATAAGCTTCTCTGAGAACAAAAGTCAATGAAGCATAAACATTCTAGATTCTTGTCATAATGCAGCCATATGCATACATAGATTAAAAACGAATGTAATATTTTTCCTAAAAGAAAAATACATTCTTGATTCTGTAGTCTCTAAAACACTGTGATACATCCTCTATAGAGATCCTTTTAGGGAAGGATTAGTGAAATAATAAATGAGCAAACACTCTTTAAAGAATTAAAAAGTAACATTTTAAGTCTTGGTTATGCTATTAATTTTCTGATAGGATTGGCTAAGATATTTGCTTTCTCTGTGTAGTGATTCTAATAAATGAAATCCATGTGGACATTACATTTTATGAATCAATATGCAGTTAGTTAATATTGCTGTAGAATTTCAAAAGAGGGAAAAGAATGCATATCAAGATAGAAGCAATATTATGTTAAAATAAGCAAAATATGCAAAGAAACATGAAGAAAAGATAAGTTTTTTCATTTTTACTTCAACATATACCAAGCCTCAAAGAAGACTATGAAGGAGTTTTTCATGTAAGTAGTAAAAATACATATAGTGAAAATACAAAAAAAATGAAGTATTTTAAAGGTTTTACATATTGCTTCTTGGCCTTTTGGCTAAGATCATGTGTAAAGGTTTTACACAAAGGAGCTATGATGAGAGGATGTATTTTCAATTTAAAAAACCTATCATAGAACTATTTTAATAATTCTGGAGTCCAGCAATGTCTTGGACCAAGATGGTAGCAATGAAAATGGGAAGAGCTGATCAGATTATTGATAAATTTGATACATACTATTTTAAATGTAAATATGTGAAAGGTAATTCTGGATTTATGTGCACATTTAAAGTAAAATTTTTCTTTCCATATTCTTTGCAGGCATATATTCCAGGAAGCCAGAGAAATAAGGAGAACTCATTGTGATAAAGGCCCACTAGACATTAGATTATTCAAATTGAAATGAAGAAAAGAATAAGGCCAGGTGATGTGAACACAGGCATCGAAATTGTACAGACAACGACTAAAGGTGCTAACAGAAAGAAGTAAAAGTTAAATGTCAAAATTATATCAAATATATAGAAAATGTGAAAGGTTAATCTGAGTGCAGTAATTTGAGTTGAGAGACTTTTGGCTTCTAGAGAAAAGAAAATAAATGGAAATGCAGGGGTGGCACCAGAGGTCAGGTGAGATTTGTGACTTGGCTTGAAGACAGTCTTTCCCCTGTTTTTCCCCCAGACCAGAGCTGATTCACTAATGGACAAAATTAGGTGAAGTATTTTACAATGTGAAAATGAGAAGGTTGATGGAGTTTTTCTCCCTGGATTTGTATTTAGAAACAGCCAAGTTCTCTAGAAGGTACTGTATTACTAACAACACAAAATATCATATGTATTTACTGGCTTATTTTGTTTTGCATTGCTATTCTTGAATTTTAAAATTGAGATCTCTGGTATTATGACTGAAAACAAAACAAAAGAAAAAACAAAGAGGCCATGGATATAGCTTAATTTGTAGAGTGATTATTTTGTCTTCATGATGGTCCTGGTTAAATAGACCTACAGAGAGAGAGAGAGCCCAGGAGTTTTCATAAAATAAAACTAGTGGTAAAGGCCACCCTTTTCCCCCACTCACTTTTTTCTTTATTGTTTTAAGAACTTCATGCACACATCGAATCTATATCACTTTTGCCCCACCCTCTTCCTTCAACTCCTCCTGTATCCCCACCCCTCTCTTCAAAATTTTTGATCTTCTCTAAATTATTATTGTTACACATACACATGTGTATATATGTAACATGTTGAGTCCATTCAGCATTTCTTATATGTACATATGTCCAGAGCTGACCTTTCAAACTAAAAGTATCTTCCATAGTCAAGACGTTTGGCTTAGCCAGCAAAATGTGGTGAAGAGAAATTCCGTTTTCTTTCGCTTTTAAATCATGTGTGCTAGCACATGCATGCAGAAGCCAGTATAGCACATGAAAAAATTATGTCTTGAGGCTTCAGATTGGAACCTCTCAGAGTTTCACTCATTTCTCTCCTTCCTCATTGATGCATTTGTTCATCTCAAGTCCCCACATAGAGGGGGAATGGCCACACCACACAGTAAGTGATAACTAGCTAGCAATGACTGTAATTTTGAGAATGGGGGGACTGGGACTAACTACAATGCCATCCCTGACTAACAGTTTGAGCTGAGAAGCTAAGAGAGGTGGAGAAGCTCTGTGTCCTAAGATTGCTGGTGAGAGAGGAAGCAGACAAACCTTAAACATCCCTTGTTTCATAGTCTACCATTTATCCTCAAGTTTAGGTTGGTATTCTTGATTGTCTGTGTCAGAATCCACGAGAACCTCACTGGTTTTGCTTCTCTGTGCAACAGCAGTTGGAACTTGTTACAATACATCATCTCAGGCCCACGGGCCTGCTCATTCACATATGTGATTTAATAAGACACGAGGTAATTTATGGTTACATTTAAGTTTGGGATGCATAAATCTAGGGGACTTACTACAAATTCAGAATATTATTTAAGTTTCATCTGCTAAATCAGAATCTTTGAGTTAAGGCCCAGAAGTCAACATTTCTTACAGATTCTATAAACTTGGACATGAAAATTAAATTTAAGATGTCTATGTGCAACAGGTAGGTGAAACATTTTGAAAGGAAGAGTGATACCTTACAGTTTTCCTCATAGACTTTACCTGGAAGTGAAGTACATGATCTGGGAGTGATGTGAAATTGTCAAGAGCCAAGGCAACAGTAAGTGTGAGGAGGTATTTCCTCATAGACTAAGGACCACAAATCAGGCCAAGGTGTGGAGTAAAGCAGGATAAAGGAGGAAATGGCTGAGCTTGGAGTAATTTCATATTCTTGTCACTATAACTCATATTTGTTAATTAAATAACAATGTCAGTATGATCTAGGAAATTGCTTTTCTTGCTAATAAATCATGTCACTGGAGAAAAATAAAGATTTGAAGCAGATATTGGTCCCTTGAAACTGTCTTTGGGTGCCAAGAATTATTTTCTGGAAAAGTAAATACACAAATGAGGTCCACCATTTTGGAAAAAAAAAACAGTCACACAGAATTTGTAGAAAACACTTATAGAAAGCAGTCTTTCTCAGTTGATGAGAAGGACTTTTGAAAAGTAGTCTTGACAGTGGATGTAATGGAAGAATAGGATGCAATTCATAAACAGGTACATTGAGCACACAACCTTCCAGGAAACAAGTTGTCTTCTCATACACATTTACCACACCTTCACTAATAAAATGCTAGCAAGGGACTGGTTTCTCTCTTCCCCACAGTACAGAATTAGCAGCGCTAGACTGGGACTTTATTCTGCAATTTAATCTTTCAAGTTGAATTCCAAGTCTGGCTTAAAGAAGATCAAGTCAGAACAAAAGGGTCCATAGCTACTGTGTCAGAGTAGGAAACTGTCTCAGAAAGCATTCTCATGAGTCTAAATGACTTCCACCACATGCACCTTGTTAGCACCTTGTAAATGAGGCAAGAAAAGCAACTAAATGAGATGAGAGACAGGTCTTTATCCCCTGTAATCTGAAGAACACAATCACATAGAAATTTCCATAAAGTTTATTCTGAGGGGTTGATAAATGTGGGTGATCAGCCCAGAAAAACATTAACAGAAAGATGCACCTTGAAGAACCACACATTATCAAAATTCCCTTGTCCATCTCAATGGTACCATCCACATTCACCAAAGCTGCTTCAGCTTATATACTTCAGCTTATATACAGATGATGCAATGTTATTAACTAAAATATTACTTATACATTAATCTCATGAGTTAAAATGACAAGGTATTTTAAAGTCCTATTTGAGTAGATTTTGAGTTTAGGTCCCTAATTGAATTAACTGATGAATTAAGAAAAAGCTTAATGAAGCTAAGAGATGTATGCCTAGAATCTGTAATTGGTTTCTAAGAGAAAGTGCATGAAATCTCCATTCTATGTCAATCAAACCCCATCCCTCCAACGCCTACAGGGAATTTGTATGAGATGTGACTCCACATATTTCACTTGCTGGCACTGAAGCCCTGGCTCTGATTAAAATCCAACTTAAATATTTATTTTATATTAAAAAATGATGTGAAATGAAGCTTCAATCTAGAAATAAAAATGCATATTCTGCAGCAGAGAAGAGGATTATAACAAGATAGTGAATATGATCACTGGATTTTCAAAATATAAAGAAATTCTGTTGAATTAAAGCCCAATCACTTTCCTTTCTAAAACTTTGGGGTAGGGGAAGTAGATGACTAATCTAGCTTCATTATTATAGGGAAAAGCAAACCAAGTTCCATGTGGACAATTAAGTGAAGACTCAGTTATGCTTAAAAATTTAGTAGTTTTAGAAGATAGATTTGTAAGATACTCCTGAAGGACACACATACAACAGAGCAAACAGACAATAGCAACTAAATGTTTTTTGTTTTAAATATAGTAGTAAGTTATTTTTCAATCAGCTTTTCTTACTCAGGCAATGTTAGTTGAATATAAAAGGAATTTTCTGAACAATTGGAGGAAATTGATAATTTGGTCTGCCATACCTAGAGATCCAAAAGAAATGGGTCTCTCCAATTGCATGAAATGAACAAGATGGTTGTCTCAGTTCTTCCCATTACCTCGCTGTTCACTGGCAGGGGTTGGGTTTCCAATGGACTACAACTTAACCTTTGTGGGCTTTGCTTTTCACCGCACATTTTGGTGTCATGGTCTTTTGTCTGTTTAACACAGTAATTGTCATGTGTAGCTGAAGTGGCCTGTGACTGTGTGTGAAGGCATGGCAGGATTTCCCCATAACTCCAAAAACCTAATTCCCTGTACTCCAAAAATGCCTTGCTCCTGAACCAGATCTTGTTTCTTAGTTGGATTCTTGTCCCTGAACCAGGAGGGATATTGTGCAGGTATTATGCAGGGAGCCTAGAATTTAAGGCTACTGAAACATGTGAAAGCTCCTGTTCAGGGATTAGCATTTGTTTTGTTCCCTCACTGCCCTGAAACTGCACTGTGACACACTATCCTGGTGACATCTCACAGTGCTGATCTGCCCGATTGCTGAAAGGTTACCAACCTCTAATGACAGAAAAATGTCCATTTGGATGATTGTGGAGAGCTCTAAAATTGTAAAATGGCTACAGTATCTAGGAAATGTTTGTGATTTCAATGAGAAGTCCTAGAAAACCTTCTTTTAGCTATCTAAATGTTTCAGGCTGCCTAAAGGATAAAATCATACTTGAGAAAAGTGTTATTTGATACATTCGTCTTAAAATGAAAAATATGAAGCCTTCCCATATGCAGACATATATATGTTTCAAGTCTAGTAGTTTCATAATGTTCCAATTTCATAACAAAGAATAAATTTCAGATTATTTACTTTTCCACATGTTTAATCTCTGACCTCTGTTACGTCCACAAATGCAACAGAAATAAATGAAGAAGCTGGCAGACTAGGCATTTGGAAATACTTCTCTTTTCCGACTTGTACATTTTTCAAAAAGGCATTTAAGTTTCTAGAATAACTGCACAGATATGGAACAAAGTTATTTTTATATTTCAAGAATACAGCTTTGGAAAGGCTGCACAGTAATTATGAAGCAAATGGAGAAGCTGCATTAGGCTCATTAAGAATTCCCTTCTGTAAAACCATTGCACAATCCCAGCTCTCTTTTCATGAGCAAATAAACTAAGCCCAACTGCTTAAGTAACACACTGGGGCCAAATTCAAGGATAAGAAAACTCCGACCACTCTGCCCAATGGTTTGCTTCACACTTCCAGACTTTAAACTCCAACTTTACACTCTCCCTTTTCTGAGTCAAATTGACAACAGTTTGATTGGTCTTTTTTTTGTTTGTTTGATTGGTCTTAAAGATACTCACCACACAGCTCTTCTGTGTCAAGATTGCTGAAAAGAGAGAAAGAAAGATGTTATTTCTTTTTTAAAAAAAATTTAATTTTGTTTTTAAAACTTTTTATTTTAATTAGAAAGCAGATTGTTTTACATGTCCATCCCAGGTCCCTCTCCCAACCCTCCTCCCCTGACCTCCCAACTAACACCCTACCTACCCATACCCTTTCTGCTCCCAAGGGAGGGTGGGTATACAGGAATGAAAATATACTTCAGTATTAGTCAATAAATCATAACTAATCACATTATGAGGGAAAAGAGAAGCATAAAATATAAGCAATAGTAAATAAGAAATTAACAATATTTTACTTATAATTCACAGTTTTAAAATTAAAATACAAGGACTAGAGACATACCACTTAGAGATCTAAAGTATATGAGGATCAACTAGGAATATGAGTTTGAAAAATCTTAGAATATGCACTTGTCACATGTCAAAGTTCAATGTAAGCCTTCATAGACAAGTCTTCCTTTAAGTTATAGGAAGTTTGCCAGACAGAAGAGACACTGTCATAGCATTCTGTCATCAGCCCTATCATTCTTTGTTATGTAATTAAACTCAGCCCTGTCATTCTTTGTTATGTAATTAAACTCAAGATTTCATTGTAAGACACTGAATATTCCATATTGCATTTGAATATTTTGATACACCAATGCATAGTTTTGTAAATTGATTTGCCACCAGACAGACTATGCAAGGTCTGTTGTGCTAGTTTTGCTGTGGGATCCTCGTCATTCATTTGTTTATTCCACAGACATGTATTGCTATATATCATGCATTATTCTAACTGCAATTGACACCCAAGGCTGCAAGAGACATCAAAATGAATATGTTAGATTTCTAGGCTCTTGGAGCTCAGTTCAAAAGTAGACTCAGGCCAGATATGTTGGAATATGCCGTTAATCCCAGTACTCAGGAGGTACAGACAGCCAGATCGCTGTACATTCAGGGCCAGCCTGGTATACATAGAGAGTTCCAGGACAGTCGGAGCTATATAGTGAGACCTTGTTTCAAACACACACAAAGAGGTAGACTCATATAGCAAATAAATAAATTACAATAAATCAGTTGATGTGGGAGAACTAGAGAACTTTTCTGAGGTACCAAAGAGTGTATCTCTGGGTAATATACTTAAGCTAAAGTTTAAAGGTTAAGTACGAGTAGAAAAAGTAGATGAACAAGGGATATTCTTATTAAAAATAACTCATAGCTAAGCTATTCCTTTGATTGAAATGTAGATCATCAGTTGAGAAAATGGAGCTGAACAAATGAAAGGCCTGACTTAACAGTGTAAGAAGTTCCTCCTTGCTTTCTTATCTGTTTGGAATCACAGAAAAATCTAAAGGTGAGTAGCTTGACTAGATATTGACAAATCAGTTCGATTAAGTAATGGCAGAAGAAAAGCAAAGTGCAGAGCTGCATTTGCAGGTTACTGAAGTAGCAAGGTCTCACTGACCTGGGTGGCACATACAACCCAGTGGGTACGCAGCCTCATTCATGGGGTAGGACAAGAGGATATCTTTGTATGTACACTTAGTCCTAACCTTTACTTTCTTTTTTGTATATTCTTATATAACATATAAACAAGTATGTTTATAGATCTATAATTGGTTTATAATCTAATAACACAGTATTCTTTAAGATGCTTCTCTATACCACTTTCTGGGACTTAACTTTCCCTATATTTACTAATAAGAGAATGTCGTCAGGATCAGTTCTGTCCACTAGTGATAGATAGAGATGAGGATATGGGTTGGAAAAAACTGATATTTGTAAATGGTTGGGAAACCAACAGAACATTTAAAAACATATAGAATTCAGGGTTAGCTAACTCAGGCATTTTGTAGTATCATTGTAAGATATATGGTTTTTTTCTAAGTCTTACTGTTTTTATAGAGCTTCAGACTTGAAAGGGACATTAAAAGGCACTGGTTTTATACTTGTTTTCTTTAATGGTTCACAGGTTCATAATGGGATTTATTTTGGATTTCTAAGAGAATAAACAGATCCAATCTATTATTGAAAGTTAAATTACTTGGAATACAGCATAAAGTAGAACAGTTAGGAATAATGAACACAGGAGCCTGCCTGCTCATGACTACAAAATGATGCTTGTCAGGTGCTGCAGTGTTCCTGGCTCTGATATGCCTATATTCAGTTGTTTTTATTCCATGCTGTTAGTAGTGGGTAGGAAGCCATGGTTCTCTTTACAGCAGGCTTACATGGATGAATTGTATTAGGACTCATTTCATACTGTGACCTATTCCATCATGTAGTAATTCAAGATTTTAAAGGATACATCAGCTATAGAAGAGTCCAGAATGTATCTGATAACATGCAGGAGTTTTCTTCTTCTTTCCATGTTTATAGCAAAAAGACCAATGGTATTTTTACCAATGGCATTATATTAAAATGAGAGAGAGAGATGGTTAGGGGAAGGGAAAGAAAGCCAAATGAAAAGAGTGAATGCTGATTAAACAGTTCACATTCCTATAGAAAGAGAACAAGAGGGGTTTTTAACAGAAGAATCCTCTCTTATCTTGCTGTCGGAAAGGGGTAGAAACCAAACACAAAACTACTCATAGCCAACTGATTGACAATGAGGAAAACAAAGACAAAGAAAGCA